AGAGAGAGAGAGAGAGAGAGAGAGAGAGAGAGAGAGAGAGAGAGAGACTGCATTGAATTATATTACTACATGTACGAGGGTGGATCAAAAGATTAAATGGAAGTTGTGAAGCACCGGTAGCCCATCTCATAAACTTTTAATTTTAATGCTATTGTCATGGACCTCACATGTTTAGTCTCTTGAAATATATTTTTTTCGGCTTTTCATGCTGAATGTCAGCCTCCTCGGTCACTTCTGGGAAGCACAGCGGTAGCCAATTTCCTCGTTGCCCTGAATTGACAGCTCTTGCTAGGTCCCGAAAGCTTTAAATAAACTATCAAACTTTGGCTAAGCAAGTTTATCTTTCGGAATTGGAAATAATCAGTAGTAGTCACGGGGAACTGAATAAAGACTGTTTCCTGGATGAGGCAAAACGTGGATTCCTTGATCGTGTATGCAGAGAGTTGTGCTCCTTGCTTTGTGGGAGCTGGATTGTGGCGGAGTAGCATTGCTAAAAAGAACTCGATCGTCGGTCTTTGTTCACCAATGGCATTTTTAAAACTGGGACAGTACCTTTTACTCATAGCATTGTGTGGCGTGATATCACCAACAAGTAGATCACTGTAATTGAAAAGACAGTTTTAAAAAAACTGTCTCGATTGAAATTCTGAACGCAAAACGATGTCTCCTTTTCCATCTATCCGTATGCGATTCAACCGCTTCGATGAAATTTCAAACAAAGGGAATCCGTGCTCTGTCTCCCAAAACGCTGTTTCTGATGAAGCACGTTCTGGTCGCCAAAATTCCTCTGTGAACGAGAAAACCGTCGATATTATCCGGCATCATAATCATTATTGCACAAGATCCTTGTCATCTGAATGTAGGGCCTACCTTTAAACGAAAACTAAATAACATGTCTGAGCTTTCGTTTGGGTTGGTGCTAAATATTATTCGTGGAGAACTCTCGTGGAGAACCTCAATGAAAAAGTGTGTGTCTGCTTGATAGATACCCCACTCACTGAGGAGCAAAAACAACGAGAGGGTGAGATTTACTCGTCACTGAATTTCTCAACATTTTTATCCCGTTGGCCCAAGCGACTTGCACAGACACTGTCACAAGAAACGAGGCATGGTAATCCATCAAAACAGCTGAATCGCATGTGGACAGGCGAGAAAGCAGATACGCCTTTTATTTTCCGCCCAGGATTTCAAAATTACCGTCTTTTTCAATGGCCACAATGATCTAAGACCTGCGCAAACGCCCCCC